CGCTCGATAGCGTTCGATGATTCCGCGATTGATAAGGTTTGATATCCCTCAAATATGCTTGGAATCTTCGCGCCTATCTCCTCTCTTGACCGTCATGTTCTTTCCTTTTTCTTTGGTATCACTGTTTGAAGAATATCCGAATTTGCCAAGAAATGACACGACACCAGTTAAATCAGTAGAATCAAGTACCGAGTTTCACGAATTTTTCAATTCTTTGGACTTTTACAATTTTCGCACACACACACACACACACGGTGTACAATTACTTTTGAAAAAGAAAGAAAGAAAGAATTCACGAGTGTCCGGAAGCACAGATTTTTAAAATGCTTTGAAACGAGATTAGGTTTAAATCATCGATAGTGTTTCTCTTTCTGCTTAGAAATATCTCGCATACTTATCAATTTTCGTCGACAGAGATTCGAGTTAGATGCTTGATTTAATTGGCGGCAATTGTTAGGCAAACGGGGCACTGCGGCGAGCCGTACTACGACAAGATCTATCCGAAAATGTCGGAGGCCATAGTCCTGACGATGCTGGCCTCCCAGGAACACATGGACAGGCGACGGTGTAGCTTCGAACTGTACGGCGCCGATTTCGTCGTGATGGAGGATCTTTCGGTCTGGTTGATCGAGATCAACACGAATCCTCGGATGCATCCGCCCAGCTCGAGAATTACCAAACGCCTCTATTCCAATGTTCTCGAAAGCTTGGTGAAAGGTTAGCAAACTATGATCTATCTATAGGACAACGTTACTCACACACACACACACACAAACAGTAAGAGAGAGAGAGAGAGAGAGAGAGAAAGGGGGATAAGTTGTCAGAAACCGAGACTGCGGGCGAAAGTTTTCGAGGATAGTGGCCGGGACAAGTCAACGAGGCGGTATATTCCGGTTTCCTCGCGGATAGACTCGAACGAGCTTTTCGAATCGTTTAGTATCGACTACTACACAAGTTGCCAGATTTCGATTAAACAACTTTGCTTACCAAGGTATACGAATCAAGAGGACAACCCTTTACTCTTTCGGCTGCGTTGCTTTCAATGGACTCACTCTAATTACCCTTATACTCTTGGATTAATTACGCCGAAGAGACCTCTTCTCGTTTCGTGCGCTTATTTAATATGAGACTGTTTATCTAGTTGGAAAGAGTATCACTGAAATGGCCTAGAGACTACTCTACACGTAAAAATAGATTGACAAAAGGAAGTGGAAAAGACTTTGTCACTCGAAACTTAAGGCTCTTCAAGGAAACTGAGTCTGGAATTTAAATTTAGCTGACTGCAGTCTGGAAAAGCGTGAAATGTCAAACTTGAAAATTTGTTCGGTGCGTGTGTATTAGAAGCAAGTTTTTGACCATGATTGTTATAACCGAAATGAAGAAAAACGCAAAATTTTTTTTTTTTAATTGAAATGATAACGTTTTTTGCTTACCAAATAATGTTTACAAGTGCCCGACAAATTTTTTTCGTTGCCAATTATATTGACGAGGGAGATTTATTTCGATTGTTCGACAACAAGTTACCAGCGAGGGGAATTTATTTCGATTAATTTCCGCGAAATTTACATCACAAAGTAATTTTACTGTTTTTAAAATGTTTTAATGTTATAAACAACTGAAATAAATTTCGTTGTAAGCGACCGAAATGGAATTCCGTTCGCCAATAATGGTTATATGGCAACAAAAAAAAAAAAAAAAAAAAAAAAAAAAGAAAAAATGTTCGGTCACTTGTAATTGTTATTTGTAGCCAGTCTATTTAATTTTTTTAATCGCGCAATTTTTCGAAAGATTTTCCTCATATTCTGATTAATATCTTCGACTTAAGTAGTAAACAGTTACCAATCGTTTTCATAAGAATTTTCTGCGACAGCTGTATGTAATTTTCGTAATTTTAAATGGAAAAATTATTCCATACTTTTCGCTTCGTTTTTGTTTGCAGAATAACGCGCTTTTTTAAAATTAAAATCAGTTGGTAGTTTACAAAACATCCTACACATTTACGCGTGTGATTGTACACACGAAAGAAATAACGGAGTATTTTCGGGAATTAAGTTTCCTTTCTATCTTCTATTCGTTGCCTTTATTTCTGCTCGACTTTGCTCCGTACGATTATGTACTCTCTGTCATGCGATGCAAAAGTTGCGGAAGATATTGGCTTTCGTTTGAAATTCGTGTCAAAGCACGCGCGTGTTCAACCGCGTGACGTGTTTGCAAAAATCGGGAGGAAATCGCTGGAAAAGCGAGAATCTTCTTAGGCCAGTTAATTTAATACTTGTGCTGGCGCAGCTGCCACGCGATTTCAGTCTCTCGCGGGACGGATATCCTTTTATGCTCGGGATCTACGTTCGCTCGAGTTTCGTTTTTCCAGGCATGGAATTCTGCCGGGTAAAAATAAATAAATGAACGTGCGTTCGCGTCGATCCCATAATAATACGCGTGTCGAGACGACACTGATAACTCTGAATGAAAGAAAAAGAACGTGAGATAAAAGTGAATTAACGCTTGAGCTTTTCACGGTCTGTGAAAATTAGTATTTACTGGACTGCGGATTTATATTCCTCCAGAATTCAAATTTCAGTGCAGAATTGCGCACTATGCTTCCAGATGTTTTCTACATTTTTTTTTCTTCAGATTCTTAGCAGTCTGTGTGTACAATTTTGCATTTTGAAATTTCCTTCGAATGCATAAAAGTCCGCAAATACTGGAGTCAGATCATATCAAGTACGATTATCTCTCAATTTTCACAGACTTTTCGTTCGCATTCTAACGCGATTATCTTTTCAATAATATCGTCATTAAGAACTCGATGACCCTCGATCTCTTGACTAGAATCAAAAAGTTTCGTTCTCGTTCGTTTATTCGTATTGGAGCTTTCACCTGAGACGAGACATGTAACGAGATTAAGATTTCCGTAGAAATTCATTATTCACGCAATATTCTTCGCTGAAGGAATATTTAAACAATATATAAAATAATTATGAAACAAAAATTGTACATGTCAAATAACAGAGTTTACGTTCAACGTAAGAGAGTTACCTAATTGTGTAGGAGAGTCTCTCACTTTCGCGAGAATAATAATAATTTCTTGTACACGACGCGATGATACACCACCGTACAAAAAATAAAGGACAAGAGAGAAGAGAAAGCAAAGCATAGAAAAAAGAAAAAAAGGAAGAGCAGGAGAGCAGAACAGAGTGCATTAATGCTCACTTTCAATTTGTTTTCCAGTGATAATGGACGTACCGATGAATCCGAGCGCAGACACCGGCGGCTTCAGCCTCGCGTACAAGCAGAACATACCCGACTTCCGGCCTTATCTCGGTCCCTGTCTCTTCGTGTTCGGCAAGTTGATAACGCTGCAGGAATATCCGCGAAAACGGGAGCGGAGGAAGAAGGGAGGGAACGGGTGGATGAAACAGCAACAACAGCAACAGACGCCGCGCGCGTGGACCGCTCCGCCGATGATTCCACGGCTAAGAGAACCAAAAGTAGTCGACTTTATCGACTACTTGAACACCGCCCGCTGCACCGCCGCCAACTGATATCCTCTCGTCGCTTCGTTGATCGTCGCTGCCGCCATATTCGATAAATGAGAACGTAGTGCTCGCATCGGGACAAAGCGGCGCACGGCCTCGGTTAGGAAGAATTGGCTCGCAAAGTGGCAGTTAAACGCAACAAAGGAGTCGGCGAACTCGCAAAACGAAAGCTCGGCGTTGCGAAGTTGTTAAAATTGGGACGACCTAGTTTTTTTTTCCCTTCCCTCTTTTTCTTTCTTCTTTTCGTGGAGCGTCGAACGTCGAAACAGTTTCGACGCCGCGCACGCGTTCAACCCTCGCGACAAATTGGAAAAAAGAAAGACGAGGAGGGGGAGGAGAAGGGAGTTCTCCTCCTCGTTTGCAGGAAGTTGTAGAAAAGTTGACGATCGTCGCGTCACGGTGATTTTCAATTGCACGTAAGTACTTTCTCGAGCGAATTCGACGCGCTTCGAGAAAGAACTCGAGTCTTGCACACCTTGGCTCTTTACCATGGAATTATGACAGCGGGGCACATGAGAGGATGATACTACGTGAAAAAAGCAAATCGAAAATGAAGAACGAATTGTTTTCATTCTGTT